TGAGCAATGCCAGACCGAAATTCCCGACCTCAAACGTTGTGGGCGGGACTAAGTTCGGAATGGCACCCAGGCTAAAAGTCAGCCTTCTTAGATGTCAAACCGTTATTTACGGGTAAATTAGTAATTTCACCGACACAAATAAGTGTTATTATCTAGTAAAATGCAGTTTATTACTTGGCATATAACCGTAAACCAAACCTAGAATACAGCAAACCAATCTACTTAACTAAACTCTTATTTATATGTAACATTAGTTCAGTTTTATAACGCTTTATTTACCTGATCATTAGTTACTTTTACTTTGTAAGCCGTTGGTAGGTGATGGCCAATAATAGAAACTGCTATGTGGTAACTTTATGGTAATTACCCACCAAAAGTATCGATTGTTACATAGTAACATACAACTCTAATAATTACCTGCATAGCTTAATTTTGGGGTAAATACCAAATAAAGTTTTTCCTATTACCAAGTAATATAGTGCGACTTGCTATGTCATTACTTGGTTATTGATGTACTGTAAAAGAAAGCGTTGCCAAGTTTTGTAGAAGCAGTTTTATTGCCTTATATATCCTTACACATGGCCCTATACTTACTTAGCAACAAAACAGTACATGCTGAAGGTCAAGTATGAGTCTTAGCAATAATACAGTCCTTAATGCCTTATTCGTACGCAATTAGATGATATATTAAGAGGTTTTGGCATAAGCAGAGAACATCTGTATAAGCATTCCTCCGAGTGTCAAAGCAACCGCTGGCGTCGACCAGCACACGTGAATTCCAGTAATCTTTCGACATGATATTCCTGTGCTTTGCAGTTACGTAATGCGATGTTGAGACTATAAAACAACTGAGATGACATGAGAGTTTCGAGGGAATAACTGAAATGTGACGATGCAGTGCTGAATGTATGAAGTGTTTAAGACGGCTGTATGAATTCGGTTTTGTAATTAAATGTTTCCCCCCTCCGGATGATAAAATGGTGTGAATCGTGGCCTTCTTTCTGTCATAAGGGAATTCTACCAATGAGCTTTCATAGTTTCAACCTTTCAACCTTAAATCCGATCTTCCGGGTCTGGTTTTCAGCTTCAGTATAAAGACTCACGATGCGTTCGCTCTGCTCCTGCAGCTGGACGTTGCTCACGATCTGCGTCCTCAGGATAAGGACCTCCTCCTTACGGGCGTCGAGCTCCTCGTTGGCTGCCCTCAGCTGACTGAGCAGCAGGTTGTAGCTGTCCTGCAGCTCACTGGATGAGCTGTCCTGCGATGCTCGCTCAGAGATGGTCTTCCTCAGGTCGTTCAGGTCGTTCTTTAGCTTCTTGTTTTCCGATTCAAGCTCCTGTCTCTGTTGAGGAACGCAGCTTCTGTTACCATCAAAACCTGAACTGCTTTTCCTGCTTACATTAGAAATATGTCTACATTATTGGTGTCTTATAAACATCTAATAAAAACAAAACATCTTCACTATGTTAACAAGAGCCTATCGCCTTATAACAGGGAACTGGTTTCAGCGTTCACACCAGGACCTCTGCAGTTTTTGCTTCTGGTTCTGTTCCAGCGGCTCAGGCTGTTTTAGAAGAGTTACGGGAACTCTATACTTCAGCAGAAGTGTGTCACAGTTAGCTTGTCGCAGGTATATTTTTGATTTATGTCCCATATTGAGGTGTGGTCTGCGCTATGTTATTCCACGCCACAACGCTGGAGGGATAATCATGAACTAGCTAGGATTGTGGGTGTCCGTGTGTCGGTTTGACGAGCTTGTTTGCCGTCTACAACCCCTGATTCAACGCCGGACGACACACAGTTCACCCCTGAGTGTTCTCCAAAGGCTGGCCGTGGCGCTGAGTGTTTTGGCTTTGGGTGCAAACCAACAGACCGTCGCACAGAGCTACAAACTAGCGTCCTGTACGGTGTCTGGGATAGTGTCCGAGGTGTGC